GGACTAGTAATAATCTGATATATAGAGATTAGAAACGCATGTGCAAACATCTTAATGTCAACTGCATTAAAAATGAAGTTTTCTGAATGAAACTATATTTTAATAATGAAAACTCTATATTTTTTACCTTTTTTAAAGGTTAAAACCTCATTTAATTTTATGTTTTATAGGGTTGATGAATGAATGAATGAATAATAAATGACATAAAGGTGGGATGAGATAAGGATCTAGTGGAGTTGAAGGGAGGTAGTGGTAGATGGTTCTGATCAATATGCATTATATAAATGTATGGAATTTCAGAGAATAAAAATACTTTTAAAGGTGTTATCTTAAAATAATTATAGACTTGGGCTGGAAAGATGGCTCAGCGGTTAAGAGCATTGGTTACTCTTGCAGAGAACCCAGGTTCCATTCTCAGCACCCACATGGTGGCTACGAACCGCCCTTAACTCCAGTTCCAGGGGAATCCAAAGCCCTCTTCTGACCTCTGCCACATTGCACGACACGAGTACACTCACATACCCACAGGCAATATTAAATAATTAAAAAAATAATAAAATAAAAATAAAAAAAGAGACATCCAAGAAAAGGCAGGTGACTTCATTCCTTGATTCATCCATAAATCCTCTATGTCATTTCAGAAATCATTCCAAGAATATTCTAAGGCTGTGGGGTCCAATTTAAAAGACAGAAATGAACAGAAACAGACTCTGACCTTAAAGGCTCTACTTCCACTCCAGCTCAGAAACAGCCAGAATATAATATACCAGGGAGAAAAAATTATTATTCTATCTACTGGTTCAGTTCTCTACTAAAAGAGGGTGGCAGTGAGAAGTCCCAAATGCAGTATTAGGGCTGCTCTGCCTTCACAAGATATGCTTGGCTCTCAAGACCTACAGATGTGGTATCACATGCAGGTGCTTGGCCACATTAAGCTCAGGAACAATTCTAGTCTCTATTTCTTACCTAATATCAAGCTCATCAACTGTACCCAAATCCTTAGCAAAGAACCAGAGTATAGGTGAGAGAGAGAGAGAGAGAGAGAGAGAGAGAGAGAGAGAGAGAGAGAGAATTCTAATATTTCTTTCTATACAGAAATGACAGGTCTGAAACATGCATATTTTCAGTATAGAGAAAAGGAAGACATGGTCAAGAGAGAACTAAGGTTTGGGGAACAATCTTCTCTAAACATGTTTCTTTTCCCAACAAAGACAGAACCACTGTGTGTCTCTTGTAATTCATTAGTGCTAATTTTAAATTGAAATTTTTTATGGATAACATATAGAATTTCTTAAAATAATATCAATACTGTATTGTGATCTTATAGTCATTACAAATATTCTGGTAGTACATACCTCATAATCTCAGCACTTAGAAGTTGAGGCAAGCCAGGCATAGTGGCGCACACCTTTAATCCCAGCACTCGGGAAGCAGAGGCAGGTGGATCTCTGTGAGTTCAAGGCCAGCCTGGTCTACATAGTGAGTTCCAGGACAGCTGGGGCTACAGGGAGACCCTGTCTCAAAAAGACAAAAAAAAAAAAGAGAAGTTGAGGCAAAAAGACCAGGAGTTCAAAATTAGCCTCTGGTATACACACGCACACATGCGCACACACACACACACATGCGCACACACACACACACATGCGCACACACACACGCACACATGCGCACACACACACGCACACATGCGCACACACACACGCACACATACACGCACACATGCACACACACACGCACACACGCTCTCACACACTCACACTCACTCAGTCTAAGCCTAGAATCCCAGCATTCAGGGAGTTCAAGGTAGGAGGATTGTAAATTTCACATCTTTCTAGACTACACAGCAGGGGGAGAGAGAGAGGGAGGGCGGGAAGGAGGGAGGGGAAAGATACTAAGGAAATCAGTAAGGTTCGACATAAAGCTCAAGCCTGCAGGTATGTGCATGTGCTCTGAAGAACAGCATCATTTATCAAGTGTTTAATGTACATGGAATTTACATTAGATATTGCGCAATGAAAAGTGAGTAAGGCATTCTCTATTTTCATGTAACTATATACTTTGGCACGTTCATAAGCACATTATAAGATTTCGTCATTTCAGATTTTTTGAAAGCATTAAGGGAATTTTTAAAAAAGAATTATGCTGTACTTACTGCTAAAATGTCTGCTTCTACAGGCAGTAGGTTTAGGAATGCAAAGAGTTGAACAGTCAAGATGGTGTAGACTTGTGTGGCAGACAGCATGAGCATCCCTATGGAGAGCAGCATCTTGTAAAATCACCTGGGAGACAAAGAAAGAATAGATGTAAAAGCTGGTGCTTTCTCCCTGAGAATAAATCATGTCCCATGCTAATTCCTAACATTCAAAAATATCCTTTTTAATTACAAATTTGCTAACATTAAAATTAAACCATATTTCAAAACCACAAGAATTTACATAGATTTGGACATTTAGGTGAACACCAACCGTAAACAAAACAGGACTGGTGTGTAGCTCAGTGGTAGAGTACTTCCCTAACAAGCACAAGGATTATATTTAAGCCCCCAGTACGGAAAAAAAAAAAAGAAAAAAAGTTAAGTCAAAACAGGTACCTACATTCACTGTTGTGGAGATTTGAATGAGAATGACCCCCAAAGCTCCAATATTTAAAAGCAAGGTCCCCAATTAGTGGCACTGCTTGAGGAGGTTTCAGAGTACGGCCTTGCTGGAGAACTATGTCACTTGGGGTGGACGCTGAGAGTTTACAGCCTGGCCCCACGTCCAGCTTGCGCTCTCTGCTTCCTGTTTGCAGTTGGAAATGTGAGCCTTCAGCGTTCTGCCTCTACCCCCCCACCACTGTGGACTCTCTCTCTCTCTCTCTGGAACTGTGAGCCCAAAGAAACTCTTTTCTTCTTTTATTCCTTTTCTTTTAAAATTTTTTATTAGTCTTTTCATTTAATGTGTGTACTGCCTGCTTGTGTGTAAGTGCACCCATGTCATGCAATGCTTGTGGAGGTCAGAAGAAGGCGTCAGATCCCCTGGAACCAGAGCTACAGATGGTTGTTAACCACCACGTGGGTGCTGGTACTCAAACCCGGGTCCTCTGCAAGAGCAGTCAGTGCTCTTAGCCGCTGAGCCATCTCTCCAGCCCCAACTCTTTTCTTCTGTAAGTTGCCTTGGTCGTGGTGTTTTATCCAACAACAGAGAAGTAACTAATAGAATGGGGATTCTAAGTTCCATGTTTTAAGTATAAAACATTCTCCCATAGTGCAAGTTACAATACATCTTGTTTATTAATTCAGTTTTAGAGAAACTAGACTCCAATCAAAGTATAATGGGAAGCACACAAACTCTCACAATTCTAGAAATTTCATCTTTTGTCCAACATAAATTTATCTACACATGTACTTCTTAATTTACTTTTGTATGCTGTGCCCACACTAAGGAAAGTGAAAAAGAAATCTAGCAGACAAAAAATTCCAGATTTAAAAAGTCTTAGTTATTATTTGTATGTCTATGAGTGTTTTGCCTGCATCTAAGTGCACCACATGCGTGCAGTGCCCACACAGGACAGAAGACGGTGTCAGATCCCCTGGAACTGGCGTTACAGGTGTCTGTTAACCACCATGTGGGTGCTGGGAATTGAACCCAGGTCCTCTAGAAGAATAGCAAGTGTTCTTAACTGCTGAGCCATCTCTCCAGCCCCAAATTCCAGATTTTATGGCATTTCAGATTTGTCATTATTTTGGCTTAGGGATGATCAACTGGTAGAGTTTGTAAAAAATATTTTTAAACTCTAAAACTTCCTATGAAACACTTCCCATGCCAAGCATTTTGATTTCCTTGATTTTATCTCCCAGTAATCTATAGTTTTTTTCTCTATATATATCTAAAAATAGCAATTATGCATGTACTTCCCCCACACTCATCCAGTTCTCTATGTGAGTCCCTACCTATCTTACAATAAATCATGATGCCATGATAGGTTTGAATATTAACTAGTAAATAAAATTTTCATTGGCCAGTTTCAATCAATTGTATAATATACTTATTTATGAACAAGTAGAAGAACAAAATTTGAAAAGACAAAAGACATAATGAATTGGTTCACTAAATACCACCAACTTATGGAGTATCAATTTTGATGATAATCACTGTGGTATTCTTGATGTGGATCTACTATACAGATTTAAAGTCTGAATCTTTTATTATACACTGAAAGCAAAATATCTATAAGTGATTTCTGAAGTACCATTTCACAAAGCTACTAACATCAGAGATAAAATAAGGGTGAAAATGTGTTTAAGTAGAATTGTGGTTAACAAGGTTTAATGAAAAGGGACAGATGGAAGTGGATACAGGGTTTTTGATGAAGAGGATCATATAAATGTTCTAAAATTAGATTTTAGTGTTGGTTGCACAATTTTATAAATATATTGAAAAAATCACTGCACTGTATACTTGAATTTTATAGTATGAATTATGCTACAGGAATTTTAAATGTATAACTTTGTTGAAATTACTTTTTAAGATAAAATACATTTGATAATATACTATGGTGTAGAAAATAGTTAACACAGTAGGCCCTCAGCATCCTTAGAAAGGCCTAATTGCAAGACTGGTCTCTGGTTTGTAGCTATGAATTCAGATTTCAGGATAGTTCCCATCATTTTCTATTAAGAACAGCTTACTGACTTGGGAGGCCAAGGCAGGCAGATCTCTGAGTCTGAGACCAGGCTAGTCTGCATAGCAAGTTCCAGCCAGAGTTACACAGTGAGACCCTGGCTCCAAAAAAGAAAAAAAAAATTTTTTTGAAAAAGCTTATTGTGCCTAAATTTTGTGAACATGGTTTATGTTGAACACCTGTTTTCCTCTGGGAATCGAGAATTTTGGTGCGTGCTAGGCAGAGGTTGTACCTATGACTAGCTCCAATATACATCCAAGGCACTAAGGCTCTACTGAGCTTCCCCTGTGTTGTCACAGCTCACTGCAGGAGTGATTAACCACATCCTGTGTGACTGCTAGGAAAGCACCCATGACTGTCACACGTGGTTTATGGTGGACTTTACCTAATGCATGTTTTCCCAGCACTGCAAAACAAGCAAACAAAACAGAGAAAATAAAACTTTTGGTTGGGTGTGGTAGTATCTACCTCTAACCCCAGCTCTCAAGAGGCAGAGGCAAGAAAATGATGAGTTCATGGCCAGTCTGGGCTATAGAATGAGTTTGACCTAAACAGTTTATTTCCTTGTATATCTAACATTTGCCTTTGATATACTTGTTTTCCAGGAACATTTACTACTTGGTCTATATCTTTACTCATGTGCTATTCAAACCTTAAAATACCTTCTATGCTCAGAAAAGAACCTGGAGTTCTAGAAGTTGCTTTTCCATTTGTGTAGTCTTTGTGAGTTCTACCACAGCAAGCATGGCCAGGGCCAGAAAGTACAGAAAGGGATGGTACAGCCCATCAACCTCACCCTCAGATACTTGCAAATAGAACGTGGATTCAGGTGTGGCTCTATGAGCTTGTGTGTATGTGGAGAGGGGGCTGTCCTGCTGGCTTTGGTGAGTGCATGAAATGAACAGATTCATTCTAAAATAAAGTCGAGAAACAATTGAGTTGGGTCATGATAAAAGGAGGTATTACTCTGCTAAAAAGCATCAGGGCCTTTCCTTAAACAAAAATCTTACAGGATATGGTGGGATTAAAAGATTAGAATTCCTTGTCATAAACCAAGTTCCAATTTTTAGAAGGTTTGAAAGAAAAACTAATGTTTAATGTTTCTTACAAATGTACAGTGGCATGTATGTATGACAAGAGCATGATGAAACCCACTGCTCTTTATTCTAACCTAAAAAATTAATTAAAAAGAAATACTTTTCAATGACTCAGTAAAGTTATTTGTCATAAGCCTGACAACCCATTTGACCCACATGATGGAAGGAGAGACCCAAATCTCATAAACTCACCCCTGACCACACACATACCATGGTATGCACTCACCCAAACTCAATAAATAAAAGTGTTAAAACAAAACAAAAAACAAAAAACAAACCATTTCCTCCCTCCCCGCCCCCCTTTTTCCTTCTTCCTGTGCCTGTCTCCCTTCCCCCACCACATTACTAAAGAATAGTGTCCTACTCATTCTGAGTATACCTACAATCAGAAGTTACACTTGTCAAAGGAAAGAGGTTCAAACGAACGTTCAAGAATCCGTGAGAACTACTAAGCAGTTTTTAAAGATGTGACCACTACCACCATTCTCAATCACATCTAATTCTCACCCTTCTTTGAAAGAATTCTAATAGTTACTAGTAGACATCTGATCTTAAATCAGCTTCCTGATGCTATACGAAGTTTTCCAACTTACAATTCTCATTCTATATTACATCTTACCTAAGAAATATTCTTTAAAAAAAAAAAGGTTTATGTACTAATTCATCAGCAAATATTTAAGCTGTTTCCACTTTTTCCTGATTGTGAACATTCATTTGAGTTCCTTCCTCTAACTTTTTTGGGTACATACCAGAAGTGGAATGGCAGGGTCACAAACAGATGGATGGTGTGATTGTCCATTTTCCATAGAGGCTGAACTACTTTGCTTTTCCCACCAGCAATGCACAAGGGTTTCTAGGCTTCCCATTTTTATCAACACTTGCTATTTTTGACATACCCATCCTAAAAGGCACAAATTTGGGGGTTTTAATTTGCATTTCTCCACTAATTAGTGAAGTTGAATATCTTCTTACACTTTTTTTTTCTTTTTTTTCAATAGTCTATTTATTATTTTTAGTTTATGTGGATGAGTGTATTGCCTGCATGTAGGTAAGTGCACCCGTGTCAATGCTCACGGAGATCAGAAGAGGGCATCAGATCCCCCGTAACTGGAGTCATGGATGGTTGTTAGCTGTCATGTGGGTGCTAGGAATTGAACCTGGGTCTTCTGCAAGAACAGTTAGTGCTCTTAACTGATGAGCCATCTCTCCCAGCCCCTGTCTTCTTACACTTTTTTAACCATCTGTATATCTTCTTTGGAGAAAGATTTGTTCAGCTCCTGATAAATCAGACTGTTCTAGCTCTAACTATAATCTGCCCCTGTGGTGATATTTCATATTCTGAATCATTTCTGATTCAGATTCTTGATCAATTCTAGAATCACAAATAAAGCCAATTAAGATGTGCAAGGGTATATAATTTGTTATAATTATGCCTTTTAACAAACTTTTCTCTTTTTTCTGTTTTAAAAGTTTTAATTAATTAATTTATTTATTTATTTATTTATTTTGGCCTTTTTGAG